AAATAGCATACTTCAGACTGTATTCAGACAGTATCAGTTCCTTCTGTGGAGGTGAATAGCATGCTTCATCACGAATCCTTTGGGATTGTCTTGGATCATTGTATTGTTGAGAATAGTTAAATCATTCTTAGTTCTTCATCGTACATCATTGCTGTTACTGTGTACAAAGTTCTCCTGCTTCTGCTCACTTCGCTTTGTATCAGTTCATTCAGAGGTTCCCAAACTTATTTGGCCTACCACCTCATTTTCAAAGAGAGATTACTCAGCACTCTTCCCACCCTCCCCTAATCTACTTTCTTTAACCCTTTAATGTTTGTTTTATTTGCATCATTTCAAAAAACTATTATTTTTTATGTGAATTGGTGTTTTTTTCCTACATTGAAATTTTGATGATTCACTATTGTGTCACATAACCATATAGTATCATATTGTAAAAAAATCATTACACATACATATTCCTGCTGATGCATGCTGGACTTCCTGACAATGTGCAACAGGCTGGCCTGACAACACTTGCTTGTTAAGACCTGTCCACAGACTTGACCACTGATCAGTTTTAACTTGCATTTTGTGTGCTTATTTGGAAAATAATGTAATCACTATACTTTGACTTTGTTACACAACAGATGAAACATGTATGAATGGTTTTCCAAATTTTTCTTCTCTTCTCTTTCCTTATGCTTCCTTATGCTTCTTTCTTCTTTCTTTATGCTTTCTTCTCTTGTTTCCTTATGCTCATTTTTATTCAACACCCTGCAGTTGCACCTAAGGCTACCACTGTCCCTCTGGATCATTCCTGCACCCCCCAGAGGGCAGTATCACCCTCTTTGTCAACCTATGAATCTAAGTCTTTCCAGGTTTTTCTGAAATCATCCTCGTCATTTCTTATCACACAATGATATTCCATCATAATCATATATTACAGCTTGTTTAGCCATTTCCCAATTGATGGTATCCTCTAGATCCTCTAGATTTCCAGTTCATAGCTACCACAAAAAGAGCTGATATAAACATTTTTGTACAAATAGTTGCTTTTCCCTTTTTTTTATGTCTTTGGGATAGAGACCTAGCAGCCTCACTAATTATCAAAACAAAACCTCAAACTGAGAATCATGTGCCAGATGCAGAAAAATTACAGATGAATTCCCAGAACAAGAAAACAGGAATCCCATCAAGGTAAAATCTTTATGAACTAATGCTAGAAAATGCTAATCCTTAAAGTATTCATTTAGTGACCCTTCCCCACTCACTCTATGCTTCTGGAAGGACTGCACAAAATAATTCATAGGATCATGCCTGAGGCCCATATGGGAATCCCTTCCTGCTGCTGGGTCTACTAATGCAATCCAGCCCCTGCCTCCTTTCCACCCTAAAAAGCAGACACTGATTCTTCCCAGACATGTGAGATGGTGTTGGAGGGTAAAGAAATTCATGCTGCCTTCTGCCTGGAGAAGTCTCTAAGTTGGGGGACTTCATGGCTGCATGGACTCTGGAACATCTTCCTCCTACTCTCCTTACCATGTAAAAAGTGGTAGTCAATGATTCAGGTCAGCCAGAAAAGGAAAGGAAGAGAGTCAAGGAAGGAATCTGGGGCAGAGGAACAAAATAAATGGCCACACTGGACTTTTGGTAACCTTTATGTTAGGCCCAGTGTGGCCATTCTTGTTCCTTCTCCCCACCCCCTTAAGATACTTAGGGGAAGAACTAAAACCAGTGAAATACAAATCCCCCAATTCAGGAAGAAGCCAAAGTGGTTTTTCAGTGCTACCTTGAGGATACCCATCAGTGAATGGGAGTGTGGGAAGAGGGGGGAGTCAGAAAGAGAGTGATGGAAGAATAAATGGGGGGGAGGTTGAAATGCCAAATAGAAGTCAAAGAAGAGAATTTGAATAGGAAGAGAAGAGCACAAAGCAAAGAAATCCTTTTAGGAAAGAAATACAAGGAAAAAAAGATTGTTGAAGAAGAGGAGAGATTTTGAACTGGGGGGGGAATAAGATGGGAAGAAAAATATATTAGTACAGGACTCAGAAACAGTCCTGTTGGGATGGGGGGGGTGAGAGAGAATGAGGATTCAAAGATGACACCTAGGTTGCTAGCCTAGGTAACTTGAAGGATGGTGCCCTCAATAGAAATAAGAAAGTTCAGAAAAGTGGAGTTTGAGGGAGGAGAAGATAATAAGTTCTGTTTAGGGGCATTTTGAACTAGAGATGTCTGAGAAATCCATTTGGAGATGTCCAACAGGCATTTGGCAATGTGAGTTTGGAGTTTAAGGAAAAGGATTAAGAACTAGATAAACGGATCTGAAAATCATTGGCATAGAGCTAATGATTGAATCTCTGGGAGCCTATGAAATCACCAAGTGAAATCTTAAAGAGGGAAAAAAGAAGAGGCCCAAGAAAAGCATTGTGGGATACCCTACAGTTAGTGACCTGGATTTAAATCCAGCAAAGTAGACTGAGAAGAAGTATGAGAACTGGAATAGAGTGTTGTCACTAAAACCTAGAGAGAAGAGTCTCAAGGACAAGAGGGTTATCAAGAGAAGAGTCTCAAGGAGAAGAAGGTTTTCAACAGGGTCAAAGGCTGCAGAGAAGTCAAGAAGGGTAGGGATGGAGATCAGTTTCAGCTTAATGATGAAGTTGGAAACCTAACTGCAAAGAGTTAAGAGAGTGAGAAGAGAGGAAGTGGCAGCACCAGTCATAGATCACTTTCTCAAGAAATTTAGCAACAAAATGGAAGAAAATTTTAGGGTGATAACTAGTAGGGATGGATGAATCAAGTGAGGACTAGAGAAATATAACAAAAACATTGAGAAAAGAAATCAATTAACCAGGTAAACTCAAAAACTGAGAAAAGCATTAAAATGGGAAGGGTAAGAGAAGAGAATCTGTGAGAATAGAGTTACATCTAAGAAGTTTAAGCAACACTGAAATAGGGACAAAGTACTAACTTAAAAAAAGAAGAGAAAAAGTTCCAAAAAAAGCAGTATTAAAGACACAAATAGAGGAAAACAAATTTAACTTTTATAACATTAACTGTGAATGGATTAAACAATCCAATAAAATGAAAGAGTGGCAAGGCTAGAAAACAAAAACACAATTTGTTGCTTGTAAGAAATATATCGTGCAAAAATCAAAGACTTACATAGAATTTTAAGTCTAGAAAAGAATTTACTATGTATCAGGTTTGTCCAAAAAAGCAAGAGTTGCAATCACTCTATCAAATAAAGCAAAAATAATAATTTGGATGATTAGAGATTTTTTAAAAATTATATTATGCTTGAAGAATCATGGACAAACTGTTTTCAAATCTGATGGTTTCTATCTTCACAGCATCCCTCTTGTATGTCCCTGTCTCCACTCACAGCCATAATCCTAATTCAAGCCCCTCATATGCTAGGACTACTGAAATGTGCTTCTAATTGGTCTTCCTGTCTCAAGTTGCTTCTGATTCTCATTCAGCTGCAAAGTGCAAGTCTATCCATGTCACTTCTGCTACTCAACAAACTCAGTAGCTCCCTATTATTTCCAGGATCAAATATAAAATATTGTTTAGCATTTAAGGACCTTCACAAACTGGCCTCTTCATTCCTTTCCAGTTTTTTTTATATTTTACCTCCCCCTCTCAACCATACCTTCTATATAGAGCAATATTAGCCTACTTCCTGTGGCTGTCCACCAAGCCCGAAAGGTTCCCTTTCTACCAGTGTCACTGGATCTAAGAGTACGTGGCAGGGAATAAGGTGTAAGAAAGACTAGAAAGGTAGGAGGGAGCTAGGTTTTGAAGGGCTTTGAGCATTAACCAGAGAATTTTGTGTGAGATCTTAGAAGTGACAGGATACCACTACAATTCCATTGAGTGGAGGCAGAGTGTGTGTGACTTGGTCAGATCTACAGAAAAGGTTTAATTTTGGTTTTTTTTTCTTTGTATCCCCAGCACCTAATACAATGCATGGATTATAGTAGGGATTTAATAAATGCTTGTTTAACTGAATCTAATTGGATCAGAACCGAACCTGGGTTTTGTCACTACCTTAGGGATCTAGTCTCTTCAGTTAACCTATTTTACAAATGAATGAGTGAAAGAAAAAGCATTCACTAAAAGAGTACAACCTGCAAAGCACTATTATGTGCTGGAAATAGGAATACAAAAGAAAAAGCATTCCTGCCCACAAAGAAACTTCTGTTCCAATAGGTGGTGTCAACACATAGAAGCGAGTAGTAGCCTTGGACAAATGATGGCAGACTAGGTCAAGACACAGACATAGAAGCTATGGCTGGATTCCTGGATGGAGGGTTAGTATGGTATGGCGTGACAGAAAAGTAAAATGAAAGAATTTAACGAAATCACTTCTAAGGATTCTTCCAACTCTAAATCCTGTGGCCCTTCCATCACCTCCGTCTCACACAGAGGCAAATGAGTGCAAAAAAAAATAACAACCATCCAGCCATTCCTTTTCCTTCCTGTTCCTTCCCAAGAACATTGTCCTATCAGAGTCTCCAGCTCCTCAGTGGAGGCCCCAACAGCTTCTTTGCTCAAAAAGTTTTGTGGATGAGGATTCCTACATTCTCACCACAAAGGCAGATGCAAGTTTAAAAAAAAAAAAACTCCAGCAGGTGAGACAGACAACCACGATCTCAGGAGTTCCTCTTTCACTCATTCATTCATTCATTCAGCAAACACTTACAGACACTATCCCCAAAGAACTTGATATGTTATACAAAGTAGAATATGAAAGTCCCAGAGGTATAATCATAGTGCTGTGATACTTCTAAGGAGGGAAGGATCACTTGTAGTCACAGAAAGAAGTGAAAGGGCGACAGAATCTCTCAACCCTCTCTACTTGACAGTTCAGTTTGAGGAAGCAGGCAGGGAGTGACTGGCAAGGGAGTGATCTTGCACATGGGCACATAGCTACTAAGTTTCAGAGTAGGCAGAAGTAACACCCACAGTCCAAGGGAGGACAAAGGAGATCAAAAGGACAAAAACTGCTACTTCTTTACCTTTCTGAGGAAGCTGGACACCACTTGCTCAAATGGGTATCTGTACACTTGGTGCACATCCACAGTGACTCCCATTTCTGGCAGCAGATGGTCCCTCCAGGCCAACCAGTCGGTCCTTCTCTGAGCCCCACAGGCCCTGCCTGCCAACACACAAGCCTCGCGGGCTCACAGTCTGAGCCTGCAGGCGCAGCCACGCTAGTGGCTGATGGCGAGTTCCTTTTGTTTTTTTTTTCTTTTCAAACTTCTAAAACTTTATTGGCTCCTGAGAGAGACACAGTCCATCGAGAGGACTCACCTTTTAGCTGAAACTGGTGTGGGTGGACCAAAGAGCAACTGAAATAAAGACTATGGGAATTTGTGCCTTTTCCTAACCCCTGACCTTCAGAGCCAAGAGATCAGAACATCCCAGCTCTTTCCTTCTCCCCGCGTAGCAGGCAGGTTTTGTTCTTTGCAGCTGGCGTCCCACCCAGTCCTGAGGGCTGTAGACAGCTACCAATATTAGCAGTCTGGGTGGGGTCGGCGCTTGGTGAGTGTATCATCCTCACACAGGCCCTAGGACTAACAAAGTCTACAGAGCAAAGAAAAGGGCAAAGAAAAAGGGAGGAGGGAAAGAAAGAAAAAGGAGAAAAGAGGAATGGGGAGGAGAAAGGAAAGGGGTGAGAAATAAGGCAAGGAGATGGGGAAAAGAAGGGGCAAGAACCCCAAAAGAGCAAAACTATACTTAAAATAATGCTTAAAATAAAAAGAACCCCAAAATGCTCACTAAAATTAGAGTTAGAAGGCACCTCTGAGGTTGTCTAATCCAAACCCCTCATTTTATAGATAAGGAAACTGGGACTTGCCCAGAGTCACACAGAAAATGAGGAGTAAATCCAAAATTCAAACTTATTCTTCTTCCAAATTCAACACATTTTTCACTGTGTCGTGAAGCTAACTCTCTCCTTCCTCACAGAAAAAAATGGAAACAATTTGCCCAGAGGAATGCACAACACAACAGGTAGAAGTGGTCATATGAGATATCTGATCTATTTCAACAGTCGTGGGGGGGGGAGGAGAGGGGAAGCAGGATTCTTGATTCAATCAATATGAAAAATAGGGGGAAAGCATTTCGCAAAAGACAATATCAAAGATGTGCCTCCTCACCCCACTATCACTTCAAAACACATCCTACCATCTCCTCTTTCCAGGACCTCCCATGTTCTTATCAGTTTAACTCTTAGAAGCAACTTGGGCATACAGCAGTTTCATATTCAAATCCATCCAATTCAAAAAGTATTTATTAAGTCCCTATTATGGATCTGGCATTATTGTAGATATGGGAGATACAAAGACAGAAAATAAAAGCCCCAGGGCCCACATTCTAAGGAGGTGGGAAGCAAAGGGACAACAAGAACACAGATAAGGGACCCAACTTGGAGAAAACAAAGACTGGAAAGGCAAACACTCTCCCTTTGAAAATAGCCACCACAGTAGACAATACACTTATTCTTACTACGCTGCCACTGTTCAAGTGCTATCTCTGGGCAAGTCACAATCTTCCTAAACTCTAGTTTCCTCTTCTAATGAAATGAAGGGGTTGGATAATCTCTAAAGTCCCTTCAAACTTTATATCTATATTCCTATGGTAGGAAACATTTTTCATTTCAGGTTTGGGAAATTGCCATGATTTAATCTAGCTAAGTGTGATAGAATGTACACAGTTAGCAATTCAATCTAACATACCATTATTAAGCACCTATAATGCATAAGGTTCTATACTATAATAGATATAATAGACCCTGTTCTCAAAGAGTTTATAATCTAATAAATACTAGAATGTGTTCAAAATAAATACAGCGTAACTATGATCCAAGGCAAAATGTGATGAAGTATAAAGGAGAGAACTCCAGGAAAAGTGCTAAGAGAAATACAAGGAAGGAGAAATACTGTCTGCAGTATGACATAATGGAAAACAGTTTCTGGATTTGGAGTTAAAGGGCCTGAATTTGAAAGCCAGCTCAGTCAGCACTTACTACCTGCTTGACTATGTCATCTCTAAGGGCTTCAATTTCCTCTATAAAATGTGGGAGTTGGACTAGATGACCTCTAAGGTCCCTTCCAGCTCTAAATCTGTGGTCCTGTGACTGAGATAGATCACACAGTGTGGTCTAGTTGACAGAGCACAAAACTGGGGCTCTATATGACCACAAATGAAATAGGGCTGTAAAATATGGTCTACTCTATTGACTGTGTGGATCATTTTAATGTCAGGAGGCCAATAAAAAATAGTGCTTCCTGTCCCAACTCTCAGAGCTGGCCCTAATGATTGTGAGAGCAGAGCAGGCATATATTATAGAACTCCACCCTTACTTTTATGATCTTGCCTTTCCTGCTTTCACTGCGTCTTCCAGATTCACCTTATGTTTTAAAATCATAAATGTTAGTGTTGGAAGAGACCTTAGAGCCCAAGATACTCCAACCTGCATACCCTTTCCTTCAATTTCCCTTTAAAGGTAAAAAAAAATGAGGTTACTCGGAGGGAAAAGCAAGATCACGCAGTTAGTCAGTAGCCTTGGACAAGTTTGGTCAGATTAAGAACAGCTTTCTTGCCGGTCCTCTAACAGGACACTCTATCACCTGACTCTGAGCTGTGATGTATAAAAAGTTCAAGAGATAATTTCTAGATGATTGGGGAGTCAGTGGCACTCTCAAATGCCAAAGACCCCCTCATGCAATCCACTCAACACTTAAATGCCCTTGGAAGAGTGGGTGTTCCTGACAGTGGCAATCAACTGTGTTCTTTGGTTAACAATTAATGAGAGGAATGAATATTATAATGAATATTGGACCCATTCTAATGAAGGACCAAAACTTTGATCATGTTCATTCCCAAACCACCCTCAGCCTCCTCAGTAATCTAGATAAAGGATCCACCCCACCCCACTCCCCATGCACACACACACACCCACTCCTGAATAGAATTCAAAGGGCTTCCCCACTTGCGTGGGGTCTGAACAAAACTGAGGAGAAAGTTAATCCAATCTCATTATCGGGAGTCTCCTTCATATGCTGACTTGACCCAGTAGAATGAAGAGATAGGAATGGAAGAAACCCTGGATCTCACCAATAATTGGTTATTTAATAATCTTTTCTCTGTCAGCTGAAACCTTTCCTAATTCCTTTTCATTCTAATGCCTTCTCTTGGTGGATTATCGTCAATTTATCCTGTACATAGCTCGTTTGTACATAGTTATTTGCATGACTGTGAGTTTCCGAGAACAGGGACTATCTTTTACCGTCCTCAGTGCTTAGCATAGTGCCTAGCACATAGTAGGTGCTAATAAATGTCTGTTGACTGAAAGAGACTTGTCCCTCAAATCAGAGGACCTTTATTCAAATCCTCTTGCTTATGAGTATCACCTGTGTCACTTAACCTCCCTGGGTCTTTGTTCTTCACTTGTCAAATAATGGGGTTAGACTAGATGGCCTCTGAGGTCTCTTTCAGCTCCAGATTTATGATTCTGTGATCCTATCATTTCCTCACTGGCCCTCAAGTGACCCGTCAATCAACATAAGTACCTACTCTGTGCAGGACACTGTGTGAGGCCCTCTGGAGTACATACAAAAATTAAGCAGTCCCTGCTGTCAATGAACTTTTGGAGAACAATCTGGAATCATGCCCAAAGAGTTATTAAACTGCCTATACCCTTTGACTAGGTCTATCTCCAAAGATGATTAGGGAAAAAGGAAAAGAACCTATACGTTCTAAAATATTTGTAGCAGCTCTCCTTGTGGTGCAAAGAACTGGAAATTGTGTGGATGCCTGTCAGTTGGAGAATGGTGGAACAAGTTGTGGTATGGGATGGAATACTACTGTGCTGTAAGAAATGATGAGCTTGATGATCTTAGAAAAACATGGACAGACTTGCATAAAATAATGAAGAATGAAATGAGCAGAACCAAGAAAATGTATACAGTAACAGCAGTATTGTTTTAAGAACAACTTTGAACAAATAAGTCATTTTGACTATTATAAATACCCAAACTAACTACAAAGGACCTATGAAGGAAGATGCTATCTGCATCCAGAGAAAGAACTGATAAATAGAAGTATGTATAGAATGATCACAGATACATACATACATATGTGTGTATATGTATACACATATGTATATATGCATACACATATGTATATGTGTATACACATACACATATTTGTGTCTAATGATAACCATCTGGGAGGGAAAGAACTTAACATAATAACTTCATTATGTATATAAAAGGAATAGAAAGTTGTATGTAATAGTTTTACAGTTTCACGTGCAGTCATCTTTTTTTATTATACTGTTATGGAAACGTTTATTTTATTCCACATATTAAAAATAAAATATCTACCACCACTAGCTCAAGCCCACACCAGCTTATTGCCCCCATTGTTAGGGGCCAGTAACTAATGCCCTACTTCCATTCTCAATGATATAATGAGAATAAAATATTAACATTTCTTTGCCACATCTCAGTGAGCATACTCTCCCCTACACCACCTCAGTCTCTAGGGAAGTGAGTTTAAAATTCAGTTCAGTTGGGGCAGCTAGGTGGCTCAGTGGATAGATCTCCAGCCTTGAAGTCAGGAGGACCTGAATTCAAATCCGGCCTCAGACACTTGAAACCTACCAGCTGTGTGACCCTGGGCAAGTCACTTAACTCCAATTTGTATCTCACTAGGGCAGCCAGGTGACACAGTGAATAGAGCATTAGGCTTAGAATCACAAAGACTTATTTTGAGTTTAAATCTGACCTCAGACACTTACTAACTGTCTGACCCTAGGCAAGTCACTTAACCCTGTTTGTCTCAGTTTCCTCATCTGTAAAATGAGCTGGAGAAGGAAATGGCAAACCACCTCAGTATCTTTGCCACAAAAACCCCAAACAGGGTCGCAAAGGGTCAGACATGAGTGAAATGATTGAACAGCAATGGTTAGTTCATATTCAAACAATCAAGAAATGCTTATAAAATGCACTAGATTTTTGGGGGGAATAATGGTACATAAACTCATTAAGAGCAGCAGCTTTTTTTGGTGTTGTCTTTGTATTCCCAGATCCTAGCATTGTGTCTTACTCAAGCTTAATAAACACTTGGTGAATTGAATTGCTCTTGTTTATGATGCCCCACAAGGTAATCCAGGCTGGTGACCTTTCTGTAGACTGGCAAAAAGTTTGGGGACATAGTAGATTTCGTTTAGATCTGAAAGAAAAGTTTAACTATAATAAACTAATACAACACCTGACAACAGTGGACCTCTCATCTTTGTGTGTCTCCCAATTATCTGAGCCTATGAAGCTTAAGATCAAGTGAGGTTTCTTTTTACATGCTCTGATATTTTCAGCTTTCCCTTTTTACCCTCTTCACCTTGATTGTTTAGCAGTTCTATAAAAGCTTT